TTTAGGGTTTGGGGCTTTAGGGTTTAGGGTTTAAGGGCTTTAGGTTTTAGGGTTTAGGGTTTGGGGTTTTAGGGTTTAGGGTTTAAGGGTTTTGGGTTTTAGGGTTTAGGGTTTTAGGGTTTTAGGGTTTAGGGTTTTAGGGTTTAGCGTGTACCGGCCTGCTTATTGTAAGTACCAGGCTTTGGGTTTGGGTTTGGAGGTGCATTGGGTGAGGGTGAAGGCCAGTACTAAGTTACCGAACCACTGGACGGATGGCATAACAAAGGGCCGATTGTAATCAGAGTAGGGCTTTGGGACAAAATCAGACTACAACTGCCATAAGGAACCCTAAAGAATAGTATCGGTAAGTCTTCAGGCCACCATATTCCCAGATCCTCCATCTACCCTCTATGAGACCTTAAACAGCCGTTATATGGGACCATAGACCCATATTTGAGGGTACAAGGATAGTGCTATTGAGATATGATGATTATAACGATCATGAGTATCATTATAATGTTATTCTTCATATTCTTACTATTCTTACTGATCTTTTTGTTGAGAAGCCAGGGCCCTCCTTTCCTCTCATCCGGGTTGTGGCCTCTGGATATCTTCTGCTTCACTACGGAGAACGTCCGTGGAAGGGAACCGGCTTAAGGTTTTTGGGCTCATTTGGTTCGAAAGGGGTTTAGGATGGTTTAAGGTTTAGGGCTCAGTATAGGGTTCAGATTCTGAACCCTATACTAAACTCTAAACCTGAACTTCAGAATTTATTTAGGGTGTAGTATCCGTTTCGGGTTTAAGGTTTGGAGGGCTTAGGGTTTTGAAAATCACGATCCCGAACAAAACCCTTGGAGCTGAACTTGAAACCATCGCTGCACTCTGAAGCCCTACACATCCCTACCCAAAACCCTAAACCCCTAAACCCTAAACCCTAAACCTTAAACATTAAACCCAAAACCCTAAACCCCCACGCCTTACGAACTTAAAGGCGAGAACCACATAAGCAGAACAGCAAGGGCCACCTTGGCGCCCTGAGTCGGTGTTTGTTTGGGGCTTTAGGGTTCATGAGAGTTTAGGGTTGAGGGCTTTTCGGGAGCTTATCTTCATCCTGTGGAAGTGATTTCGGTCTACTGGGACTTATTGGGGCCTTCGCCGAATATATGCATTCGATGTTCATGAGGATTTACTCAAGCTTTATAAGTTCGTTCGGATGTAGTCGCTCTTCTGCAGATGCGGAGCGGGCTGATGCAGGAGTGGAGCGGATTGAAGAGGGAAATCCCCACCGGCACCACTCCTCGGAATACTCATCGGCCCCATAGTAGTTCCTTTTTTGGGGTTCATATTTAGAATCCTATAAGGTAATCCCAAAAAAGAAGTACTATGGGGCCTATGGGTTGGGTTTACATATTTATATAGGGCACCTGAGCCCCAAACCCGAGTCAGGCTTTATAATTTTGTAAGTGCTGTCTGACGGTTGCATGAAAAGGTGGAACAGATTGACTGCGTCCCAAACCCCCAACAGACAAAGCCTTTGGGGTTTAGGCCTTTAGGGCTTTAGGGTTTTAGGTTTAAGCGGTTTAGGGCTTTCAGGGTTTAGGGGCCGACCTCCAAACCTTCAACACTAAAGCCCTGAAGCCGCAAAACCCTGAATTATCAAACCCCAGACATTCCGTAGACATGTAGACGACGAAACAACAAAAAGGGTCAGGGGTGTAGTTCTAGTGATCTACGGAGTTGGGGTTCAGGGTTTTCGGGCCAAGGCATCAAAAAAATCAGAACCGGATGCATTGCAGGCCCATTTTCACACTCGATGGTTTATACTACAAAACCGTATCCCATAAAACACCTCATAAGCCCCAGTCCAAGTAATTCAGGGGGATTGGGTCGCCATTGCAAACATCTTGGGGAAGATGATATTTGACCAAAGCTGCCACCAGCACTCACCGACATCAAGCAGGATAGTTTATGCCGTAGATCCAACAAACCCCCAAAATCTGTCATAATGTCCTGTCGTACTGTAGAAGTGCTACAAAACCCTAAACCCTAAACCTTGAACCCATAACCCCTTCAGCAACCCTTATAGCACCCTTACAGAACCTTCGTAAAGCCCTTGTAGTATCCTTACCAGTTATCAAACCGTGTGCAGCCCGATTACAACAACGTGCGAAACTCTCAACTCTCAAAACCCTAAACCCCTAAACTTTAAACCCTTGACGACGCTCATAGAACCCTTCCCGAAGCCCTGAACAGAACGCATTGACAACGGCGATGCGCAGACCTTCCCAAATCCCTTCACTAAGGAAGCAACCTTATAAGATTATAGTAGGATCCTTAATATGAAGTTGGGTATATTCCTTAGTTAAACAATATTGGAAGGTCTAGAAAACTGATTCCTTCCGAGGCTCTCTTCTTTCGCAAAAGCGACCAAAGAGCCGTGAGGCTTGAAGAGGAGTCCACGAAATAGCCACCTCTGCGGTCTAGGGTTTATAAGGTTAGGGTTCAGGGGTTTAGGGTTTAGGGTTCCTGGTTTAGAATTCAAGGGTTCAGGGCTTAGGCTCTTTGTTTCCGGCTCCTTCATCGAACTTAGCCTATCAAGTCCAGCAGAATATTCCGGTGATGGTGATGCTGATGATATGACTGTGGTACTGCTGATGATATAAATCCTGCGTTACGTTAAGGACCCTAAACTATGGGACTTATGGTATATTCCTGATGATGGGTAATGCAGGATTTATATCATCAACCGTAGGTTGGCGGTTGTCCGCGTCTTTGCCGTGCTTTGCAAGACTTTGTGGGGTAGAAGTCTGGGGTTAAGAGTCTTGCAAATCCAAGGAGCTCAGGAAGCTGGTTGCGCATGACGTAATGTAGGGGCCTTAATTAATAGTTAGAATATGGTTTTGGGGCCCTACTATAATTATACAAAGGAGCCCCCAAAATAGTATAGGTAATTATTTAGGCCTCTATATTAGGCATGTAGGGCAGCCATAAGACCTAAAACCTGGACACTCACTCACGACGCATTCAGGCATGCCGAAAGGTCAGAGGCAAAACTCAGAAACCTGAAAATCGTAAACAAACAGCAAAAGCCCCAAAGCTTTAACCCTGAAGAATAACGCCCAACCTCAAGCAAGCAGAATTACCCGAAGCTCAACCCTTAACAGAGATCCTGTAAGCCGCAAACGTTGCAGCAACCCTTATGCAACTCTTGCAATGACCTCTTCTGCTTAGCACCTTCACGTGCCAACATGAAACGGGAAGCCTGGGTGCTGAGACGTGTTTCAGGAATGAGGGTTTTAGGTTTAGCCCTGTAAGCCTAAGAGTTTTAGGATTTGGGGTTCACGTAGTCAGGGTTTAAGGTTTTTCGCTCCGGCTGTCACCGCTTAGTGCTGAAAGTTTCAATGCCCCGGTGATTTAAACAGGTCTGCGGGGCTTTTGCGGTTTCACGACCAACTTTTCATCAACGCCTGGAACGAAAACAAACCACAAACAAAGGACAACTCGCCAAATCGAAAATGCACGGTTCGGGGCTGCGTGCCTCCAGCCTCTCAGCTGCAAAACGCGAACCCTACACGCGTTAATTTAGAGGCGCTTTTTGCAAAATGGGCACCCACTTTCACTGCAGCTTGGCATGCCCGAAACGCTAAACCAAGCTCTAAACCCTGGGCCATCAGCCCTAAACCCTAAACCAAAGGCCCTAAAACCTAAATCCGAATCATCCCTAAACCCTAAACATCCCTAATGCCCTAAATCCTAAACCAAGCAAGCACGGAGATCCTTCCCGCCTTGATGGAAGGGCGAACACTTCAGCTGGACCAAGGCTGGCCTCGATTATAGGGTTGGGTTTAGGCTTTAGGATTTACGGCTTAGAGTTTAGGGTTATGCGAACATGTCTTCATGTATAGGTTCTCCAAAATGATCGTCATGGTTGCTCTCGGACCTCATCTCGTTTTCTCTGTCATCCTGTTTCTGCAAGGCATAGGAGGTTTGGATGGAGGTTCTATTCAGTCTATGATGACCTCGTAAACAATCCTACACTGAGGCCATTACTAGTTGCAAGTGGGCTCAATACGAGGTTGCTGGCTGCTGCTGCGGTCGCCTCCACTGCTGCTGCTGCTGCTTCCACTACTACTACCTACTACTATTACTACTACTACTACTACTACTACTACTACTACTACTACTACTTCTACTCCTACTCCTACTCCTACTCCTACTCCTACTCCTACTCCTACTCCTACTCCTACTCCTACTCCTACTCCTACTCCT